CATGGGATCCGAACCCTCGGTGGGAGCGCCGCCACACTCCCAAGCAGTGCACTCTCCAGTGTGCCACCAGGCCGGCCCATGATCTCTTTTCTTAATTATGGCCATACTTACCTCATATCCAAAAAATTACTTTTAGATTAGTGGTGAAATCCAGGAAGTCCAAAGTAGATGCCTTTCTAAAGTGATACAAACCAAACTAAAAACTTAACTGATGCAGATAAGTATGAGGAAAGAATGTTCTTAGATGTTTTGTCTTAAAATTTGAGTGTATGCATGTGTGTACCTGTGTGCACACATGTGAGATAGGTACATAGATATAGATAGACATATAGAGATTAGTTATAGACATGGAAATATAGCTCTAGATATAGATACAGACATAGATCTTATTTCCTGGGACCAGACTACCTGTATTTAAATCTAGATCTCTCACATTCTAACTGTATCATCTTAGGTAATATTCGCTACCTCTGAGGGCCTCAGTTTTCTCATCTGTTAGATGGGATAATGATTATACCTACATCGTAAGGTTGTTATGAGGATTAAATGAATTTAAAATACTTATTTAATGTATTTCCTAAACTGTTTTATTAAATATGTTGACCTTTTATCACTTTAAAATATACATATTTATCAGTCACCTTTTTAAGAATTTCCATTTAGACTGAGTGTTCAAAAGTGTGAAAGGCATAAATTTCAGTTGCGTTTTACCTTTCAAATATTTTTTTGTTTTTTAGTTTGTTTATAATGCCTGAAACCCTGGTGAAGTTCTTAGATGTTNTATGGAGACATTTGATAAATATGTGCTGAATGACATGTTGGATCCTCCAATAATTAGGACTATAACAAGAAATACTACTCCTTGGAGTGCGAGATCACAATATTTACTATATTAGTAAAAATTTAGTTCTTTCATAAAAACATCTCCTCTTGAAAAAAAAGAAAAACAATACAAGGGAAAAATACACTATTTAGAAATTCTCACTAATCTGCTTTCTTTGTTTTCATGGCTGCATTGTGACTGTCATGGGACAGGCTCTGGTGCCCGTCTGCACCCCTGGGCACTGCCTCGTATCTGAGGCAGCACTTCCTCCATCCTCTGGCCCATTACATGCTATCTCAATTGGTCTCAGTATTGTTTCTTTATGCTGAGAACAAAAGCAGAGAATGCACATGCAATTTTTTTTTTTTTTTTTGGTGGCTGGCCAATTCAGGGATTTGAACCCACAAATTAGTTTATATGATCTCTTTTCTTTTTTTATTTTATTTTATTTTTTCCTTTTTGTCTTTTTTTACTGACCGGCAACGGGATCGCAACCCTCGGTGTTGCGCNTATTTTTTTGTTTTTTAGTTTGTTTATAATGCCTGAAACCCTGGTGAAGTTCTTAGATGTTGATGTTTTTCCATCAATTGAATTTATAGTTCATCATTTTAAATATTATGTAATTACAAGAAGTGTTTGTCTTTTTCAAAAGGTTGAGCAGTTAAAGATACTGTTGAAGTCAGTTCTCGACCAATGGAGCAACCACAAAGTGGCCTTTGACCAGATCAACACTGACCTCATGGAAGCCAGGTATTCCCTGTCCCGATTCCGTCTGCTGACTGGCTCCTTAGAAGCTGTTCAAGTTCAGGTAGACAATCTTCAGGTAAGAAATGAAGTTACACATTCTTAAAATTCTTTTTAATTTGAGAAAACCAAAAAATTAGTCATCAATAAAAACATCATTCTGAAATATTGCCATATATTGTTCACATTTAATTGTTTAAAAAAATCATTAAAATTAATTTTACCCACTTTACTGTTGCTTAATCACACTTGCCTGTGGGTACCAAATCATGGGTTAGCTGTTATATGGCTAAATGACTTTTATTGCCCGGTTACATAAATATTCACATAAATGTATTTTATAAAATGATTTTATGCCCAAATCAGCCTCCATAATTTTGTCACTGCCTTTTATATCTTCCCTTTTTCTTTTTATACTGCTTCTTCAAACATATTCTAAGGGATTCAAAAGAAAGCAAAGAGAAAAATAGCTAAAGTGGTAAACATTTAAGCCATTGAGTTGTTTTTATTCATTCGGATAAGATAGTGGCCTATCCGATGCGTCCACACAATCCTCTTTTCTGGCACTTACTGCTTGGTTTCCTGTGTGTCCGTGACCATTGCATTCATGTAGAATGACATCACTGCTCCTATCTCAGGTCACTGCCCTCACTCCCTGCACACCTGGGCACTGGGTCACTCTCATCTGCTGCTGTTCTTTCTTCTTGGCTAAATAACACAGACGTGGGGTGGGCAGGGCAGGCCTCAGGGATGGGGCGCCAGCAGGACCCCAGCATGTGCCCTTCTTACATCTAGTCCACCCCCGGCTTGGGAATCAAATGTATGTATTGCTGACCTCACATGCAGACTTTCTTAAGGGATGAAATGTGTATATATAATTTCTTTAAAGTTTTAGTAGTTGTTGCATATACTAGGAATCATTAAAACTTATTTTGAGGATAGTAAATTTAAAAGCTCATTTTACATCTTACAGGCTATTAGAAGTACTTTTTAATTGAACATATTCTGTATTGAACACCTGTAAAAGCTGTCTCAAAATATGAAAGTATTAAGGGTCTTTTCCTTGAATATTTTGATTTGAGGGCAATCAAATATTGGTGTTAAATAACACTAGATTTTTGTAGCCTACTTCACCTATGGAGTATTACTAAGAACTGAGTCTATCACCTCAGCAATATTTCCAAGGAAACATCTTTCTTTCAGTTCCCTCTCTTGTAGAAGACTCCACCAAACCTGTCTAATAAATATTCTTTGCTTTAAGCAATTATCAAATATATAATGCATTATTATTAATATAGTCACTGTTCTTGCAATAGATCACTAAAGCTTATTCCTCTTCATTAGTTGAAACTATATACTCTTTTTTTTTTTCCTTTTTGTCTTTTTTCATGACTGGCAATGGATCGCAACCCTCAGTGTCGCGCCCGTACTGGACCAGGACTGGCAACGGGATCGCAACCCTCGGTGTTGCGCCCGCACCTCGCTCAGCCAGTGAGCGGCTGGTCTATATGTGGGATCCGAACCCTCGGCGGGAGCGCCGCTGCGGCGCACTGTAGCAGTGCGCCACCGGGCTGGCCCGAAACTATATACTCTTTGATCAGCGTCTTTCCTTTTTCCATCCACCCCGCTTCCCCAGCCCCTGGTGTATACCATTCTACTCTCTGCTTCTATGAATTCAACTTTTTTAGACAAAAATTGATATGTGAGGTGACAATATGTTAATTAGCTTGATTTAATCTTTCCAAGGTGTAAACATATATCAAACAGTCACATTGTACACTGTAAAATGTACAATTATTATTTGTCAATTAAAAATAAAAGAAAATTTTAAAAATTAAAAGAAAAAATTCTCTGCAAGGAAGAACACCCAGAGATAGAACTTGGATACTAAGAAAAGTTATGACTTCTTAGAGTCTTAATGATTAGGAGTTTGTGGTAGAATCATTCTAGGTATGTAAAAAAGTAGAGACCTAGGTTTTGGCTTTGAGCATCACAGAAAACCACAGTGTCACAGATAGTACATATGCCACCACCATAGCTTCCTACGAAGTGGTGGACAGAGGCACCTTTTGTGAGTGTTTGCAGCAGGATCCCAGATGTCAGCATAAAAAGACTTAGTTGCTAAGAATCTCTTCTCACAACCATAAGAACAAAATCATAAAAAAGAGAAGAAATTATTATCTAGAGAAAGATTATAAAGCAATGGAGCCAAGCCATGCATGATGATATATTTGTATGTACATATTTATGAAAACATCTGTAAATTCCTTTTAAACTTGCTTATTAGAATTTAGATCCTGTCATGTCATGTGTGGAACTTTTTCTTTGGGCAGAATCTCCAAGATGATCTAGAAAAACAGGAAAGGAGCTTACAGAAATTTGGCTCTGTCACCAACCAACTGTTAAAAGAGTGTCACCCACCTGTGACAGAAACTCTTACCAATACACTGAAAGAAGTCAATATGAGGTATGGGGGATGCCAGCTTTACACATTATTTATATCACAACCCTATTATAAACATTGATATAATTACAACTTTCTGACATTTGGAAATTGAGCTTTGTAGATTCTCTTCTATTAATGTTTTGATGTTCACAAAATGAATTTAACAGTAAGTAAACATAGTGCAGATATTCAGAAAGATTGAGAACTGCCCTAAGATTACTCTCCTCCTCATTATTTACCCTTGAAATATGAAGGTGAAATGTTACTTTTCATTATGTTAAATAGCAATGATTATTTCCATATTCACATAAACCAGGATCATGAAAAATAAAACAGCAAATAACAGCATTTGATGAGAGATGGTAATCGCTCATAAGTGTTGGCTCTTGTCTCCAGATGGAATAACTTGCTGGAAGAGATTGCTGAGCAGCTGCACTCTAGCAAGGCCCTCCTTCAGCTTTGGCAGAGATACAAGGACTACTCCAGACAGTGCGCTTCCACAGTTCAGCAGCAAGAAGATCGAACCAATGAGCTGCTGAAGGCAGCCACGAGCAAGGACATTGCTGACGATGAAGTTGCCACATGGATTCAAGATTGCAACGTATGTTCAGGACCCCAGCATGCCATTCTTAGACTTCACAGGTTCAGCAGGGCTAGGGCTGACGTGTGTAAGATTTTGGTGTGTCTCAGTACGAGACAATTATCCAAAAATAGGTATTAAAGAGCCACACAGTTGCACATGTATCAGATTTCAGAAATCTGCTCCTCTGGCTTCATTTTTCAAGATACATTGTTTTCCCATTTTCACTAATGGAATATAATCCATGTGAAAGATTTAGGCTATCCATTTTTACTAAGATGGTCAATATACAAAATGACCATATAAGGAATAATGTTATGTGTTTTAAAAATCTACTGTTAGAAATATTCATTTAGATTCACTATCTTCTATGTAAGCATCTACGTAATAGTTTCATCTAAGAATTTAATGGTAGAAAGAAGTCTTTTCTCTCCTGATTTACTAGTGCACTTCTTTTTAATAATTCTCTTTTTCACTGTAGCTGCCAGTAACCTACTTAAGGTTTTCAGGAAAAGCTGTTCTCTTGTTTCATCTATTACATGTCTCTTGCTGTTTGTCCTTACTTGTCTTTATTTTAATGAACCTGTTACCAAGATCTTATAAACATTCCCAAATCAGTTTATTAGAATTAGGTAAGTTATAGAAACTACACAAACAAAAGTTCAACATATTCCAATACCTTCAACCTGACTAATCACTTTAAAACTAGAGATTAATATTTACAATTAAGATAATATGTGTTTGGGTTTCTTTTTTTTTTTTGGTTCACGTAGTTTATCCCTGCAAGATCTGTCATCTCCACTCCTCCTGAATTGAGATATACCTTGTCTGTATCCAGGTGAAGGTTAGAGGAGCCCTTTGGTTTTCCCCCTCTCACAGTAGTCCCTGCACAGATATAGCAGACCCTGTGTTCCCCACTGTGTCTGGGTCCAGCAGCAGTAACAGGTAGTGGATAAAAACCAGTAACAGAGAATTTCCATTGGCTTATATTTTTGAGCATAAAAGTAGAGGCAAGAGATGCCACAGAGAAGAATAGAGATAAGATTGCTCTTACCCTCTACTCTCCAGACTCATCCCTGCATTCTGTACCCCACTGAGATAGGAGGGTTCTAACTACGATAATGTGACCACACATGGACAACACACCATTGACAAACAAATCCCTGGGGCATATAATAATAAGTAGAAAAAGGTAAAATACATGTATTAGTCTGCTTCTGTTGCTTATAACAAAATACCCAGAACTGGGTAATTTGTAAGAAAACAAAACTTACTGCTTACAGTTTAGGAGGCTGGAAAGTCCAAAGTCCAGGGAATACATCCAGTGAAGGCCTTGTTGATGGTGACAGTGACACAGGGCTCCCACATGGCAAATGATGGAGCAGAGTGAGAGCAAGCACCTCACTCCTTCTCATTTAAAGCCCTCAGAATCACACCCATGACCACCATTAAGCCATCAATGGATTAATCCATTCACTAGGGCAGGGTCCTCACAATCTAATCACCTCTTCAAGACCCCACCTTCCAATGATCATAATAGGATTTCCCAACCTCTTAACAGTGTCACAGTGAGGACCAAAACTCTAACACATTAAACTTGGGGGGACACAGTACAATCCATTTTAAGATAGCACTGTATTTTCAGTTTGGTATAAATTACATAAAAAGGTAGGAAAACATTGCCAAAATGTTTCCACTTATTGGTTCTACTTGTGGATCATGGTTTTTTGGTTGTTTTTTTTTTCTTGTTCATGTATGTTTTTCCTCATTTTCCCCATCTCCTATAACGAACCTGTGGCTTTTATTACCAGAGGAATATATATGTACATATTTATACTTTATGTACATTATATGAGGGGTTTTCAAAAAGTTCATGGAAAGATTGGTATTATCTTTTATTTTTCTATGAACTTTTTGAAGTCCTCTCATATGTAATATATCTATAATTTACACACACATAATATTTTTAAAACTTGGATTTAATTTTTGATCTTTTTGTTGCAGATAAAGGTTATTTAGCCTAATAAGTTCATAAATAAGAATTGCATATTTGTAGATGTGTGGCCCTTTGCCAGTTGCTGTTTGTAATGAGGAGCACACTTAACTTGTGTTACAACAAGCATATTTTCATCTTCTGTAGGATCTGCTCAAAGGACTGGGGACAGTTAAGGATTCTCTTTTTGTTCTCCATGAGCTGGGAGAGCAACTCAAGCAACAAGTGGATGCTTCGGCAGCACCGGCCATTCAGTCCGATCAACTCTCTTTGAGTCAACACTTGTGTGCCCTGGAGCAGGCTCTTTGCAAACAGCAGACTATGTTACAGGTGCAGAGCTCATATCCAGTCTGTGTTACCAATTGGGTGCTCTATAATGTCTGGGCATAAACACAGGAAAAGAATTTTTTTGTCATTGAGACAATGCCTTCTTCAAGACCAAAGAATTAAAAACTGAACAAACTTGAAAGTTCCAATGGGGGAACAAAAGAAGGTGGGAGTTTTGCACTGTTCTCCACAGTGTAATTTTAAAATTGGTTTAGGAGGCAAACCCCTAAACCAATGTCTTCCTCCATGGCACGTTCAATTAATGAGCACTAAGTGGCTGTAATGTTAACTTTTATGTCTGTATAACTTAGGTTTTTGGGAGAATCAGAATATTTTTCAGATGTATTTCATAATGTATTTAAAGAAAAACTTTAACTGGCAAGGCAAAAATAAAAAAATAAAGAAAAACTTTAATTAGTTACTGATTAATGGTACATAGAAATAATTCTACTTTTTAGAAAAATTACACAAAGAGAAAAAAATTAAATTATTATAGGTCTGTTTTTTTAGGAATGGCATCTTGAGAATGGGAATTTGATACAGAACATGAAAAATAATTTTAATATCCACTTACCCTTTACCGTATTTCACTAAAATACCAATCTTTTTCTCCGTAATACCAATTTGTTTTGTGATGAAAAAGGCTGGAGTTCTTGACTATGAAACTTTTGCCAAGACTTTGGAAGCTCTGGAAGCCTGGATAGTGGAAGCTGATGAAATCCTCCAAGGGCAGGATCCTAGCCACTCATCGGACCTCTCCACCATCCAGGAAAGGATGGAAGAGCTTAAGGTAAGAATGTTCAAATCTGAGTCCCAGATCTTCTATCTTCTGTGCTCAAAAACTTCAGGAAAACCCGAAACCAGTGTACACCTACTCTTTCTCTCAAGCTCCCAGTGAATCCCCCTGCTCTGCCTTCCTGCTCTCCTGAGAGCGTGAGCTGCGTGTTGGCGAGGAGCATGAGCTGATTTCCCAGCCTGTGATGGGAGCCAGGCCAGGACCAGTCCTAGAAAACCGCCTCCCTCCTCCTCCTTTCCACCTGCAGTCCTTTCCCACGCTCAGTCGGTCGCCTCCTTAAAAGCCTGAGCCTCCCACCTCCCTCTCTAACGTCTTCCAGTCCTAGTTCAAGCTCCTGGGTCTCTCCTGACCACTGCACTAAACTCCCACAGATCTTGCGTCCCCCCACTCCCACCAACCTGCTCTCCCCCCGGCTGCCAGAATGATCTTTTTCTTTTAAAGCGTTTTACTCACGTAGTGTAATTTAATCAATCCACATTGTATATGAGTACCTATATCAAAACATAACGTTGAACCCCATAAATGCATGCAATTGTGATTTGTCAATCAAAAATAATTTTTTAAAAGGCAAAGTAATAAAAGAGTTTACTTAATTATGAACTATTATAAATGTTCAATAAAGTAAATAAAGCAATATAAGTAGGCATGCAGATGTTATCATACTGTTCCTCTGGTTAAAACCCTGAGTGGGTTCCCAGTGCTCTTAGGATAAAGGCCAGTGTGGCTTTCAGGTCCAGCATAACCTGGCTTCCACCTTTCCTAAAGGCTTCATCCTCACCTCCAGCCACTCGGGAGTCATGGTGCTTCCCAGTGTCTGTGTGCATAAAGTTTCTCCCTTCCGAATCCTTTTCTCTTCCTGCCAACTCTCTCCCCACAAAAAGAGTAAATTCCTGCTCATTTTGTTCATTGTCAGTCTCCTAGGAAAGCCTCCACTGTCGGGCTCCCCAGTGACACCCTTTTATATTACACTATTCTTTTCCCTCCATGCTTCATCATGTCATTTAATGACATTCATGCGAGTAGGTGATTACTACCAGGCTCTCTACTACTGGAACGGTAGCTTACTTTTCCTAAGTACCACTAGAAGAAGGACCATGTCATATCAATTTTGTTCAGTGCTGATGTCTATGCATGGGAATTCTGCCATCTAATAGTTATGCATTGGCGTCAATCACTGGGAAGATTTATTGTTTCTTCAGGGATCATGAGCCTTTTGCAGAACATGAAGAGAGAAAGCACATTCACCACTAAAGGTGTCCTGATGTTTTTTCCTTCCTGTAGTCGATTTTCCAGATAGAGATAAAAATGACCATGGGAAAACAAGAAAGGGCAGCTTTGTCCTGTGTTTAAAGGGAAGTAAGAGATCTGAAAGCACAGAGTGTTGTTTCAGTTGAGTCTCACCAACTCTGGCGTTGGGGTCAAGGACCTAGAACTGAAGCTCTTAAGGCAATGTGTGGTCAGTTCAAAGCTCAAGTGAGATTAATTCTATCTAGCCAGAACCCAACAACATTTGTTTACCTAGCTCAACCACTTACTAGCTGGGCAGCTTTGAGCAATATACTTATTTTCTGTGCCTGTCTTTCCTCATTTGCAAAGTACCTTGGTGATACTCACCTCATGGGATTGTTTTGAGGATAGAATGAGTTATTACTTATAAATCTCTTATAACAATACTTGATTCATATTAAGTGCTAAATAAATGTTAGCTCTCACTGTTATAATGGTTACTATTATTGAATAATAAAGGAGCAGATTAGCATAAGCTAAATATAAAGAGTAAGAAATAAGGCTTTGTCATCATCAGCATCATTTTCATCTTACATCAGTTCTACGAAAAATGATATATGAGTAAATAAAATAATATGTGTAACCAACTAAGTATTCAACAAAGGACAGTGAGTAGCTGTGGTAGCAGCAGTGCAAGCTGAATAGGAGATTCAGCTTTTCTCTATTTGTACCTCTGGAGACTGCAAGTAAGTGCCTAGAAAGGCACAGCAGATCAAAGACCAGCGTCTTCCTGAAACTGAAAGTTCACTGTGCATTTTGAAAAAGCTCTGTCTTTTCCAACCATGGTGCTAAAACTGCTTTTACCTTGTTTTCAGGGGCAGATGTTAAAATTCAGTAGCATGGCTCCAGATTTAGACCGTCTAAATGAGCTTGGATATAGATTACCCCTGAATGATAAAGAAATCAAAAGGATGCAGAATCTGAACCGTCACTGGTCTTTGATCTCCTCTCAGACTACGGAAAGATTCAGGTAGCGTAAATGAGATATTTTGGTCACTCCAGTTGTCTTAGTCAGTTTTGTGCTGCTGTAACAAAATACTGCAGACTGGGTAATTTATAAAGAATAGAAATCTGTGTTCTCACAGTTCTGGAGGCTGGGAAGTCCAGGGTCAAGGCACCGGCAGGTCCAGTGATCTGGTGAGGGTTGCTCCTTGCTTCTAAGATGGTGCCTTCCTGCTGCATTCTCTGGAGGCGAGAAGTGCTGTGTCCTCACGTGGAGGGCAAGAGCACTGAAAGCTGCATGCAGCGTCTTTTGTAGGGGCCTCAAATCCATTCACAAGGGAGAAGCCCTCATGGCCTATTCACCTCTTAAAGTCCTCCCCTCATAATACTATCAGTTGGAGGTTAAGTTTCAATACCCCAATTTTAGAGTGACACATTCAAACTGTAACACCAATATATCAGTGGAATATAAGTTCATAATTTGCGTGTATTTATAAATTCTAGGGTCTTCCCAATAACACCAACAAAATTTGAACTAAAAGCGGAGAATTCAAATTGTAAAAAATTGTCTATGTTTACTGGACTAAATAGTGTTTTAATCAGAAAAACTCTTTTAAGTAAGAATGTATTAAAGGTACATGTATAATTTTTATTATTTTAAAAATGTAACATTTTAAACTTTGTCTTTGTTAATTTTCTTTTTCTTTTTTCCTCCCTTCCTACTTTCCTTTCTTCCTTCCTTCCTTCCTTTTTTCTTTTAATTTTACCACCTAATATGAAAGCTTTGTGGTGGTCCAACGAGATCTGAAGGCAGACAATATTTCATCTAGTTTTATATACTAGAGATATAAGAATAAGTAGCAAAATAACCACTATTCCTTGTCCTTCCTTCTGTCAGTAAGTTGCAGTCGTTTTTGCTACAACATCAGACATTCTTGGAAAAATGTGAAACATGGATGGAATTCCTGGTTCAAACAGAACAAAAGTTAGCAGTAGAGATTTCAGGCAATTATCAGCATCTTTTGGAACAGCAGAGAGCACATGAGGTAAGTTATACCAGTAGATTTATCAGTAATAAAAAAAGTTTTAGGCCTATGGAAGGTGCTGTAAAATGCCATGCGGGAGAATAAAAAGGCTGTATCTTGTTCCAAGTCTTGCCTAATGCAGGTCGTTTTCACTTTCTTTCTTAAGCTTGAGATTTTGATATCTTAATTACAAAAAAGTGGTCCCGTTCTCTGTTTCATAATTGGTTATAACCATGTGTCAGTCTTCGGTACCTTGTAATGTATCATGTCAGAATTGTGGTTAAAGTCTACTTACTAGAGGTGGGGTGGAAGGACTGCAGAAAGTTAGATAATTTTCAAATTGGGTTGCAGACTGCATTAATATTGCCGAGGCTCATTGCTTAAGAGACTATGCTTGTGTCAAAAGTCTTTGATAAATGAAAATTTTGTGTTCTTTAAAAAGGAAATATGAATATTATAGCAGGAAATCATGCTATCAAATATCTCCAAGTGTGCCTCTTGATCAAATTGCATTATAATTATTTCTCAAGAAACACAGAGAACTATATACAAAAAGTAAACTAATTAATTTGCCAACTATTAGTCCCTGTTTTGCTATTTATTGCTGTAACTATGTGGCTCTGTGTGTTTAGGAAATATATGCACATGAAAAGATGAGACTTACCTAAGGGCAGAGGAAGGCTTAATTCAGAGCTTAAAAGAGAATAAAACTAATTTTGAAGCATTTTGCTGAAATTTTTAAAATGGAGAATTTAAAGATGTACAGGTATTTTTTTAAATTCAGTATTATTGAGTTGACAGATGATGAAATAAAATACAATGGATCAAAACTACAGTGAGATACCATTTCACACCCACTAGAATGGCTACAATAAAAAGGTAACAAATGTTGGTGAAGATGTAGTGAAATTGGAACCCTCACACACTGATGATTGTGCATTGGGAATGTAAAATGGTGAAGCTGCTTTGGAAAATACATTGGCAGTTCCTCAAACTGTTAAACACAGAGTTACCATATAACCCAGTAATTCCACTCCTAGGTAAATACACGAGATAAATGAAAATACGTGTCCACGTAAAAACTTGTACAAGTATATTGCTCATAGTGGCATTATTCATAATAGCCCAAATGTGAAAACAACCCAAATGTCCATCAACTGATGAATAGATAAATAAAATGTGGTATATCCATTTAATAGAATACTATTCAGCAATAAAGAGGAATGAGGTACTGATACATGCTTCGACATGGATGAACATTGAATACATTATTCTAAGTGAAAGAAGCCAGTCACAAAAGACCACATATTGCATGATTTCATGTATATGAAATGTCCAGAATAAGCAATCCATACCGACTTAAAATAGATTAGTGGTTGCTTAGGGCTGGGGGATTGGGAGGAAGTGGGGAGTAATTACTAATGAGTATGGAGTTTTTGGGGGGGCGGTTGATGAAATTTTTCTAAAATTGAGTGTGACGATGGTTGCACAAGAATAAATATAATAAAAGTCTTAAATTGGACTTTTTTACATGGGAGAATTGTATGGCATGTGAATTGTATCTCAACAAAGCTGTTTAAAAAGCAGGTGAAATAATTTGGAAATCTTTCTATTAAGTTTTTTAAATAATGATATAATTTCATTAAGCTAATTAATTTAAAAAACGGTAAGTTCAAAAAGAACAGAAAAAGCGGGAGCTTTTTTTTCTTTTTTCAACTTCTTAAAAGTTGTTCTCTGTGTCTGAATATGGACCATATTCTGCATACAGAATAAACCATAACGTAAATTGTGCATTAACTTACTGTATTAGGTGCTTTTGAAATAAAGAAAAGAAATATAATTCTACTTTTAGTCATTTAGTTTTTGTAAATCCGGAACTAAAATTTATCTATAAGCATATCTTAATTGATGATTTGAAAATAAATTATTCCTACACTGCAGAATTTCACACATTTCCTGATTCAGCTGGAGATATTTTTCATAGCCTTGCTAAAAGCAGAATATTTGGAAAGTTATCAGGGAACTGATCACTAAAATTAGGAACTCTAAAGTATGCTCTTTTTTTCAAAATTCTAGTTGTTTCAAGCAGAGATGTTCAGTCGTCAGCAGATTTTGCACTCGATTATTATTGATGGGCAACGTCTTCTTGAACAAGGTCAAGTTGATGACAGGTAGGATCTTTGATAAATTGTTATGAAGAAAGGTTCCAGTAAATTAGTCATTTTCTCTTTGATGAGCAGATTAGAGGGTATACATCCAATCTTTCTAAAGCAATTGGACTCTAGGAGAGACTCAATAATTGGAGAAAAGCCTTGTCTGAATCTCTGAAATGACTGAGTATTGAATCTTTTTAGAGAACTGCTGTTGTGTTTTATGAAGGATATAGAGTAACTGCAGGTCACCTAGCCAACCTTTGCTAGTCATCTGTAGGAGACTGGAATTAATGAACAAATCAGAATGAATTGTATCAATGACATATCAGTGGTTTATAAAGAGATGTTTCTAATATTCTCATGCAATTACAGAAATTTTATTCCTAAAAGGAACGTAACAATCACTAGTCCATCTCTGTTATTTATAGATGAAAAACCTGAGACCCACAAATGTGAGCTGGTTTGACCAAGGTCATGTAACTAAGGATCAACAGAATCAGATGTAGAACTCATGGGTCTGGTTTTTAGTCAGTACTGGATTATACCAGCAAGCTTTCTCACACCATGACAATTCGTTCAGTTTGGAAATGGTTTGCTACCTTGAATCGGATTACATTCCATCTGAACGCTTTCTTCCTCTTCATTTACATAGCGAATTATCTCTTTATCAAAAATGCAGAGATAAAAATCTAGCTTCTCTTCAAATTTATGGAATGTGAATTGACAATTTCATACTATGTTTGCATTTCTTAGGAATAATATTTACTTTATCTCATCTACTTTCCATGGTGGTATTTGGAGTATTAACCTCATTTGTTTTATTACGTATGTACATCTTTCCCATATTTAGGACCAATAGTTATGATTATAATTAACTTAGTATTTTTCAAAAAATTAGAAAATAAATTATTTTTATTGAGAGTTTTATTTTTAATGTTTTGGAAGCAATTTTAGTTTTAAGTGGATATTTCTTTGGAAGTACATGAAAGATTTTTGTGGTTAAGGTTGGAACGACAAAATGTGATATCATACTTGTATTTATTGTATTCTAAGTAAGCCAAACTTAAATGTGAGCTTTACTGAGAATTTAAGACCTTCAAAATAAAACAAATTCAAATGCAATTAACTTTTATCTTTTGCTTTATCATCCCTTAGCCAACTCTATAATAATATTATAAACATTTGAGTCATTAAGTAAAATGAAATTTAAAATTCATGTGCAATACAACATCTATTAAATTTTAAATGCTAACATTTAGGAAAAATACCAAAGAGATGAAAATGGAAGGGTTGGACCTGAGGATAAAGAATTTTGAAAGTTACAAGTGAAAAAAAAAAAATCAGATTAGAGCCTGTTGACAATAGGAAGGTCCTGCATTACAAATGTATTGTGTTCTAAAAGTTAATTTATGAATTTCATTTTTTAGAGGTTCAGGTTCAGCACTGGGAACAATGTCATATTTTAAGTAGTTCCTAATACTGGCAGGTAACTCAGGACAGCTTGGAGGATGATGGCTCTGAATAGATCTTGGATGGTTACCTTGTAGGGAGAGCAACATGCAGAGGCCTTTTCATGTCACAGGATATTCTCAAATCCTGGAACCATACATTTCCTGAGTTGACAGATGCTTGTAACTTTAGGGAAGTATCATGATTCTACTGCAGTTGATTATATATATCAGGGATGGCCAGTTACTCAGTGGGTTGGAGCACAGTGTTGGTAACACCAAGGTCAGGAGTTCGGATCCCTTCATTGGCCAGCTGCCAGACAAAAATAAAAATAATAGGATTATATATATCAGAACTTCCTTTCAAAAACAAAAGTCATCATCAAAATCTAATTAGTTATCTTATGTATCTATTTTAAAAATGAGAGCCACATAAATGTTTTCAGGGGCTTTATTTGGTACTTTTTGTTTTAAATACTGGCTTTGTTGACTTTGACTATGTATTCAACTTTTCTTTAAATTGAATCATTAAATAAGTTGTTAGGACTAACTGTACATTTGGTTACAAAATTAGTTTATAGATAATAAGAGGTATAGAGAATACAAAAATCCAGAATAGTAAATCCAATTCAGATTTGAGGCCATTCCCAAGAAGAGAACAGTATATCTGAGGAAGAGAAGCGAAACAATTATAATAGATAAAACACAAGTAATGTTACGTTTTGATACTACAATGTGTGAATAACACTATAATCTACAAAGAAACATCCTATTTGGTGCTGGACAAACCCTAACTAGCCAGTTCTAGGGCCACATGTTGAATGTTAATAAAACTTAATAAAGAACTACCAATATTTTTTAAAAGTAGAAAACACAGAGGTAGGAAAAACACATTAAAAGATCTGACATTTTTTAGCCTGAAATTGAGAAATCTTAAGTGAAATTTGATATTTCTGAATATATGAACGACCTTCGTACAGACCATGATGACATGATAGTTTGCATTTTTCTAAGAACAAAGTGAAGTAGGTCTAAAATACAGAAGGAACAATTTTGATTAATATGTGGAATAATTTGCTAAAGATTGGGGCTGTTTATTGTGGGAGAATACTGAAAGAGTTTATGGAATACAGCTTTTAAAAATCTTTTTAAGTGATGTAATTTAAGTGGATTATGATTCTAGCTAAAATAACACAGTTTTGTCCATCCAAAGTGGCTTATGATTCTAGCTGAAGACAGAGGTTATACATGAGCTTTTCTGCACCCGTTTTCCTGCTGTAGGGCACCTGAGATGCTCTCACGAGCTGCACACATTGCTGTGGACGGGTTCAGGGTTTGCAGCTAACTCCACTCCACCTGCTGTGCCCTGTTCCTCCACTCTCATGTGCTCAGGAACGGGATGCATTACAATGACTTTATTATAGATTTGCCTTCGACCTGTGCTGAGACATGAAAACACTCACTGTTTGCAAACACTGCTAATTTAATTTTTAAAATTACTTGTGATAGACACGATGCCAGAGCATGGCATGAAACCTCTACCCTACCTCACTTCTCAGGGCTATGGTCATTGAGAATGTGCACACTGGCTGACTACGTCACTACATGCATGCTCCCAGTGCTTTTCACCATGTAATTACTTCTTCGCCAGGGATGAGTTCAACCTGAAATTGACACTCCTCAGTAATCAGTGGCAGGGAGTGATTCGCAGGGCCCAGCAGAGGCGGGGGATCATCGACAGCCAGATCCGCCAGTGGCAACGCTATAGGGAGATGGCAGAAAAACTTCGTAAATGGTTGGTTGAAGTGTCCTATCTACCTCTGAGTGGTCTCGGAAGTGTCCCTATACCACTGCAGCAAGCAAGGACCCTCTATGATGAAGTGCAGGTAAGGTGCAATACTGGCTGTTCTCAAACCTTTTATACATTTCCACTGCACACTTTTCCTTAGCCTCAGTTCTTCAGAAGGACTCTGGAGTGACATGGGAATTAGGAGAAATATTGTTCTCAAATGTCAAGAGATATATACAAAATGATTGCATGACAAAGCCCATATTTAATGGTGAAATTACAGTAAGCCCCAGACTCTCACAAAATCTCCCTCCACTTAACACGCCAAGGCCTGCAGCAGCTCACTGAATCCCAGCATGGATGGAAAGGAAGTATCAAGGAAAGGAAATCTTTGTGTTGATTACATATATTTTACTTATGAGCAACTTAAACATGTCACTTAAGTACTCTGGAGAAGATACAAGGCTCAGTCCTGTTTGAGCTCTTTGACTATTTCCAACTATTTCCTTACTTTCTCCAGCCTAGTTATTTGGGCCTCCAGCATCTTAGAGAGAGATCTCCTAGCACTCTAATCAGTCCTTCCCAGTTTACCTCATGGGCTCCTCTTCCTTTAAAGGTCACTGTTCTCTAATTCCTTTTTCCTCCACATTTCTCTGCAAGACCTCAACACAGATGCACCTTCAACTACCCACTACCAGCAGAGAAGGTACAGATCGGTATCTTCTGGACACATTCACCTGCTGAGCTTTCAACTCATATATTCAAACACCCTTCAGACTTAGATCATGTGCATTGCAGATCTTATGGATCCTGTGGGTCCCAACAGAGCCTGTGATCTCTAGACCAACCATTGTCCATTCCCCATGTCATCCCCAGCTGTCTAGTCTATCAGTCCAGGAACCCTAGAGTCATTTTAGAGCTCTGCTCTTCCTTTTCTCTTATTCACCATATCTAATCTGCCCCTAATCTCCATTCTTGCTGCCACTGCCTTAGGTCAGGCACTTACAATTTCTTGCCTAGACAGACAATAGTTTCCTAACCTGTCTTAGTATATTCAATATATATTCGTCTTTCATTCCACTTTCTACTCTGCTGCTGAGTGCTTCCATTAAAACTTTAATTCAAACACATCACTTCCCTGCTTAATATTCTTCTGTGAATTCTACTTAATATTCTTCTGGGATTCACAGAATATTAAGAAGAATTTACCCTAGCTTATCCAAGCAAGTTGCTGTGAGATAAAATCTCCAGGAGGTGTAGTAAGCCTTTGATTAGACACCAAATTCCTGTGCAAGACGTGGTCTTGCCTCTACCTCTATCACTCTCTTACATGCATCCCACACTCCAGCCACTGAAAACAACATCCAGGTTCCTGAATACCTCGTATTTCTCTCATATAGTGAATTTGCCCATCCTTATTTCTCTGTGGGAAGGTGTCCTCTCCCCAACTCCTGGTCACACTCATCACACCAGGTCCTTCTTTATCTGTCTTCTAAGACTCATTCAGCTATTACCACTATGAGGATTCCTCCCTGTATAGCCCGTGTTGGGTCAGGTGTCCCTCTGTATTGACTGTGCATCCGTTTTACAGAGCCGTTTTCTTATTGCATCGTGATTATATTCAACCTGGGGGCAGAAAGTAAGCCTCTCCCTGTTGTATTCTCATTCATTTGGTTCATTCATGCATAAAGTACCAGCTCACTAAATGCTTATTGAATGAAAGAGGGCATAATATGTTTGATAAAATTTAGGATCATTTAAAAATACTTAGGGAAATGGTGAAGAAAACAATGAGAAAGTAAAAAAAAAATGAGAAAATAAAAATATGTTTTTTTTTTTTCAGTTCAAAGAAAAAGTGTTCCTGCGACAACAAGGCAGCTACATCCTGACAGTGGAGGCTGGCAAGCAGCTCCTGCTCTCAGCAGACAGCGGAGCTGAGGCCGCCTTGCAGACTGAACTCACTGAAATCCAAGAAAAATGGAAATCAGCCAGCATGAGTCTGGAAGAACAGAAGAAAAAACTGGCCTTCTTGTTGAAAGTAAGTGTAGGTTAAAAAAAAATTCAGTTAAAATAGTTGTACCACTTCCTCCCATTTTTGTCCTGTGAATCAAATCATGCAAAGATCATCAAGTAATACTTTGTAGTATTTTGATTCTCTGTGTTTTGTTTAAGACTTTGTACTATCTTGTATGTACTAGAAAAGTTTCCCAATTTTCAGCATTTCATCTCTCAGGAAAGTTCCCCAGCAAAGTAATTTAAGGTCTAGTAAGACTGTCCAAGCTATGAATTCTGATTAATGGCCAGTGCTAAGCTTAGCATGTGATGACTTTATAAATCCAGACAGGAATTCAAAGAGTAATTCCACTCCCTGATCTAGACCCTAAAATGGTTTTCAAGATCGTTATCTCTTATTTTATGGCAGGGAAAAACCAACCCAAAAAGCTACTCTTGATTTATCCTAGCTTATCCAAGCAAGTTGCTGTGAGATAAAATCTCCAGGAAGTATATTAGGCATTTAGTTGGATACAGATTGCATACTGATCACACGGTAAGTTTACTGAACTGTAGACTTATCCAGACCTCTCACAATACGCTTTCTCCCTCACTCTCCAATTCCATGTATAGTACATAATTACATCAGCACTTTAAAAAGGGCATGTGCTCTAAATTTAGATAAAACCAAGTTAAAACCATAGTAAACCAAGTGATCTGGTTAATTTGACCTTTCAAAGCCTCAGTTTCCTCATCTGTAGAGTAGATATAATTACACCTCCTTCAAATGGCCATTGTGAGGATTTAATGAAAGAATGAAGGTAAATTCCTTCTTTCCATACCTGACAGATATATATAAATATCATAAAATATATAATATAGTATAAATATATATATACAATATAGTATAAATATCATACTATTATTATTTTAAAAAGTGAACTCAGCTAAATGCTAAGGTTTTATACATGTTGATAGTCACCAACATTTTAATGAGATTATTAAATTTGGCCTGTCACTTGTTTGGATCAAAGGTAAAAACTAAAGTTTATAGAATGGATTTTGCTTTTTTAAATGCTTAAAATATGCACACCCAATTTAAACCACTGGGTTTATTCTACTGAATTGTGTTTAATGATATATTACCTTTTGTGCAGGAAGCAATCAATCAAAATTGCCACTGAACATCTATAAAGAACTATTATTTGCACACAGCACAATATATCAGTAATGTAATATGCCTGATTCTTTTTTCCTTCTTTTGCTTTTGGGAAAGGGTTTAAAACATTGTAACTCATTCTGTAGAAACATTTAATTATGTATTTTTCTTTGTGATGTGACTTTTGGAACTCGTTCCCAAGACTTACTAAGGCATGATGTCTGAGTCACTGTGTTTGCTTTCCTCGTCTGTCTGTTTGTTGGTATATGAAACATCTACTTTGATAGATGTTTGCAGACCATGATGTTAAGTCATTTCCTTGTAGTTCATGTAGTAGAAAGACTTGGTTATGGCTTCAGAATCTATGTCATCCTTGGAAAGAAGAATCCCTGTTCTTATTATAGTTTATTTTATTTTGAGTCATACACTACATCCTGTTTGTCTAAGAAGGAATTTATGAATCTAAATTTTAATGTTTATGCTGCCTCATTTTAATGTATCTTTTCACCATAACTTTAATGCTTATAAATTTTTAGCTTTTAAAGCTCTGAGTAAATATGCCAAAAATACAGTCATTATAATTTCATGCCCTGCATGTTCACAGCTTCTTATTTTTCATAATAAAATTAAGAAATAGGGATGCAAGTAAATATTAAAGCTGTGGTGAAAAGATACACTAACATGAGGCTGTAGAGACATTAAAATTTAGATTAGATTTTAAATCAATGAACATTTATTGACTGCACGTTGATAGATTTCAGGGTGTATAATGATTTGAATGAGAATGTTGCTCGGTTTAAACAGAAAGAGGACTTTTTGTCCACCGTCACTATGCTTAGCATTAACGAACTAAGTGTCGCCTGGGAACAGAGACATATTTTGTAACAGATCTGTTCATGACAGACAAAGATTTTTTTTGTTTTTTTTGTTTTTTGTTTTTCTGGTAATTGGAAAAGAGGAAATGTGGCTATGCACTCTAGGAAGTTCCATGAAAGGATTTTAAAGGGAAATAAGAATCTTGGGTCAAACTTTCAGTTCAGTGAGAAACCAAAAGACATTTTGAGTAGGGAGGCACTTTAGTGAAGACTTCTTACAGAAGACAGTTATGGTAATATGAGGTACTGTGCTAAAAATAAGATTTCAGGATTGAAGATAGAAAGACTGCAGACAAGAAAAGACTGGTGATGATGAAAGAGATATTGTGAAGAAAAATGCAATGTGGTTTGGCACTGTGGTAACTACTAAAGGTGATTCTAGCTGTGAGTCTAGTTGTCTTTCTTTGGAGCTCAATAATTTATGGTGTGAGGAGCAGCCACCGGGAGGGAAGAGGCCACGAACATACAGTGTGACAAAAATGGGCAGTGCTGGACAAAATGAAGGGAACTTGTCTAGTTGAATTTTATTTTCATTGGCACTGAGACAACAGATAGGAGCAGATTCATTGCTTTAACCAACCAATCTCCACCACAGGTTTTGTTTGTTTTTTACTTTTTTTTTTAATTACAAAAGAAATACATGTGTCTGATTTTAAAATTCAGGTAATAATTAAACTGTGTAGAATAAAATAATGAAATTTCCCTTACACCACCATCCAAATTCTACCGTCTTCCCCAGAGGTAACCATTGTTACCAGTTTGGTGTGATACCTTTCAAAACATAACCACAAATGTATGTTTTCTTTTGTCAGTACATAGTGATCTTCCATATTCTATACTGCCAGTCTCTACCACTTACATTGCTATTTTCTTCTCCAGAGCACTTATCACTACTTGGCATACTGGATAGGTATTTCTTAAATTATGCATTATCTCTCTGCTTCCACTTCTTGATTTGTATGGTTTTTTTCCTTCTTTTTTTGTATGTATTATACATTTAACCCTTTGCTATGTATTTTCATCACTAACAAGATAAAGCCAGTCAAGCACCATGTGTGTGTTTCTGCTTCTGTAACAGTTCAAGTCTGTGTGGCTCATGGTATTTACATATTGAATTGGATTAGAGTCAGGGTTATATTATTTTTACATTCCATCTCTTTTCTCTTACCCACACATGTTCATCTTGAAAGAGATTCCCATCCTCTTCTTTTATCCCTTAGAGTACATTTGGGGGAGTGTGGACATTGGTGCAATTATGGGTGGGGGTAGGAAAGAAGCAAAGTACTGTGATTATATTCCCAGCTCTGCAGATAAATTTGGGCTGGATAATGTTTTCAAGTATTCATAATATTCTGAGCATTGCGCTTGGTACCCTGCCACCTGTTGCCTCTTTTAATCTCCAACAATTGTGGAGAGTTTGTATTATTTCCATTTTCATAAGGAAAACTGAGACATGGAGCACTGTCTGCTTAAAGCTACACAGATAATAAGTAACAGAGTCAGTTTTGAACCTAGCTCTTCTGATGACCACAGCATCCTGCCTCCCATGGCAATGGGTGTGGACACGGCCTCACGTTATTCTTCAGGGTAACTTTAATGTTTTCTCGGAGAATTAAGAAGACTATTTATTTTCTTTTTTTTTTTTTCTAATTTCCTATCCTTCCAAAATTTCATACAATATCTTTCTCCTCCCATTATAGGACTGGGAAAAATGTGAGAAAGAAATAGCTGATTCTCTGGAGAAACTACGAACTTTCAAAAAGAAGCTTTCCCAGCCTCTACCAGATCACCATGAAGAGCTCCATGCAGAACAAATGCGTTGCAAGGTAAATTACTGGATTGAGATTGTCACCATCACCTGTCTGTGTGCCTCTGCTGGAATAATACTTTTGAAAGCATAATCCAGTCCAACTCCTATGGCCATCTACATGTAGATACATAATTCTGGTATATTACATTAGGGATCCCAGCCTCTACCAGATCACCATGAAGAGCTCCATGCAGAACAAATGCGTTGCAAGGTAAATTGAGATTGTCACCATCACCTGTCTGTGTGCCTCTGCTGGAATAATACTTTTGAAGGCATAATCCAGTCCAACTCCTATGGCCATCTACATGTAGATACATAATTCTGGTATATTACATTAGGGCTTTTTCTTTCAATATTAAAACTCAAGGATATTCTTTGAAACTTAAAAACGGCAAATTTAGGAAAAATAGAAGGTAAGTATACTTTACATTATGAATGCTAGGTAAAATATTAACTTGAGATGTTACCTTTAGAAGTATGCAAAAGTTATAAAGATTAAAAAGAGTTTTTTATAAACCTATGATTGTAAATTGATAAAAATTATTAAAGAAACTTCTGATAAACAGGAATGGGCATTTGTTAGGCTCCTCCTGTGTGCCGTTGAGTATACCAGTGCTATCTCAGTTGGCATGAACACAAGCTCCTAAGGGCATTCTCTTTTTTTAATTAATTCATTTATTTTTTAATTGATAGACATTAATTGTACACTTTTAAGGGGCAGAGAGTTATATTTCAGTACATGTATACAATGTGTGATGATCAAATCAGGGTAAGTAGCATATCTATCATCACAAAAATTTATCATTTCTTTGTGATGAGAACATTTGAGCTCCTGTCTTCCAGCCATTTAAGAACATACAATAAATTATTGTTAATTATAGGTTCCTAGCACTACTACAGACTGCTAGAACTTATTTTTCCTAGCTAGCTGTAATTTTTATATCTGTTAGTCAACCCCTCCCTATCCCCCTCCTCTGTCCTCTTTCTAGCCTCTAGTAACCACAATTCTACTCTCTACTTCTATTAGCTCAACTTTCTTTTAGCTCCCACATATGAGTGAGAACCCGCAGTATTTATTTTTCTGTGTCTGGTTTATTTCACTTAACATAATGTCTTCTCGACTCATCTCATAAGGGCATTCTGTTATTTCTCTTTTGCAGAGGAGAAAACTGAGGCTTCTAGAAATTTAATAACTTTTCAAAGTTAGTAAATATCAGAGCTTTCTGAATCTACAGGCTGTATTTTTACCACATGAACTCATCTAGTGGGTAGATATACCATAAGTCTGAAACAGATGGTTTCTGGTGGTGTTGATATTGTTTCTTCTTAAACCCATACACCAAATCTTATGTTTGAATTGGGTGCTAGAAATTGGCATATATAGAAGAAAATCTTCACGTTGGTGTAACAATTTAATATGTCTCAGAGTGTAAACAAAAATGTTGCACATTTAATTCACCTGGATGGTTTGGTCTTTCAGCCAAATACTGTCACCATGGGGCTTCATTTTTCATCTCCCAAAATACATGACAGTTACAAATATGCCCTGCTCCTGAGTTTGTAGATTAAAAGGGGCATTTCAGTCTAGCTCTCTGCAACTCTTTGCCAAACCACCCTTAGCAGCAAAACAAAGCAATTACCTGGAAAATTCAGACTAAAACCTTGTTTACCTAAATTGCCTGGAAAGTTAGCCTCAGACAGCACTGTTAATTGCCTTTGCCTTTGGAAACCTGTCTGCTGTGTGAAGAGACAAAAAAGGAGGGTAAAAGCCAAGTGAAATACTCTATTCATATACCAAATTAGCTGGAATTTAAAAACAATGGCTGGCAGAGAACAAGAGTTATTCAAATTACAAAACTGGTCATCTATCAAAGCATTGCAAAAATTAATGTCAACTCATTCAAATATTGGTACATAATCTTTTTTTTTTTTAGTAACTTAAGGAAATTTCTGATCCTGTAGAAAATATATCCAGTGGATTATTTTAAATTCAGTAGTAACCGCAACAGAGCTTCTCAGCTGTTACATTATATGTATATATCATAGAATTTAGCAACTCATAGTGTCTGAAAATGAGAGTTAAATTTAGGAGTCTTTTTAAAAAAAATATTTTATTAGTGATCAGTAACTCTGGACAAAAAGAAATTATGGATTAAGGGCTTATGAAGTCAGTTTAAAGTACAGAAGATCAGTATAGTGATGAAACTGCAACTTAGAAAAAAAATCAAAAAAAGATCAATGAAATGGTAAATAGATGGTGGGAAAACTCTGCAAGCAACCTGGCATTTTATCAGAAGAATTCAGCAAATTATCAAATTATGTAGGAAGCAAATAAAGTAGATCCCTAGTTTGATGTTCAAGTGAGGTGGGATGGAGAGGAAATGATGTCAAGAGGGAATTCCGAAAACACTTTGGAAATCATTGACAGTAGATGTCCAGGGGTATTCAAGATATTTTTCTAAATCTAGGAATTAGAAAATGCAGCTGGGAGCTGGACAGATGACTTGACGCAGTTGACACTACTGAAGGACACCCTCTCTGCCTATATCAGCACTGATGACATCTCCATCCTTAATGAACGCATAGAGCTCCTGCAAAGGCAGTGGGAAGAACTGTGCCACCAGGTATGACAAATTCTGAAGATGGAATTATCTCATAATAATGGAAAACAGTAGGTGATTTAGAGTGGCAGGTGCCTGGACCCATAGTGGAGCCCATCCCATAACTCATAGTGTGGACAAAGGAAGAACCTGTGGTTATTTTCAGGATATCTCAGATTAAGACAACCTTATCATTATATTATATTTTAGATGCATCTAAACTGTATTTTCTTCCTCTCTTTTTCACTGGCTGGCATAATATTTTTAAGAGGAAACACAATGTTGGGGTTCATGGGTGTGGTTTTTGCTAGGTAGATATGGGCAGTCTCTTCTATACTTTAAAAATGTGAGAAACCATTGTTTTACTTGCAAATTTAGCTCATACTGTGGAGCTGGTTTTGTACATGGAGCATTTATTGTTATTCTTGATTTTAACATCACTGCTTCCTAGTAATTGATGGGTGTATGGCACTTTTAGTCATACTTTATTCATTAGGTATCTTCCATGTGCAAAGTACCTTAAAAGAGATACCAGATTGTGTTTTGATTTGGAAATAAAAGAGAAAGAATGGTGAAAAGGCATCGAGAAGACATCCCAGGCAAAGAGAAATAACAGATTGGAAGCTCACAAGTGAGGAACAGGCAATTGCCTAGAGGCTTTGAGATCATGCTCTCCAGGAGCAAGGGCCATGTTCATCTTGTGACTTCTGTACCCTGAGTACCATGCCTGGCACTTAGTAGACTGTGATACATGTTTGTTAAATGGTGCAGTCATACTAATTATTGCAAACATAACAAACTGTAATAGATGTCCCTACCATCAAGTTGACATTGAGCTGAGACTAAAGTCAACCTACAAGAATGTACAAGGTGAAAAAGAAAACCAGGTATGAACAGGTAAAAACAATGCATGAAAAGGTATAAAGATATAAGGAAGCTAAGGGCAAGTGTGGGTTGCAGAGAATAAAGAAAATGCTTCTTGAAATGTTCAAACCTTGAACTGACTTCCGAGATGGGGCGTAGAGAAATTGGTCAGGAGGGAATGAGCAGATGTGTTGACAGGGTTGCAGCTCAAGGCAGAGTCTGGCTGAGGGGAAGCAGGTACTGGAAGGCTGAGGAAGGGGCTGTTGAAAAGAGGCTTCTTAGTGCCAACCCAACCTCATGCCTCTGTGTGCCTGTGCCAGCAATGCTGCCCTGGAATCTTTTTTCTCTCCCATCCTCCCTGCTTTCTCTGACTTTAGGGATGCTTATTCTCTTCCTTCTGGAACCATTGAACTAAGTTGAAGAGGCTCAGAGCCTCTTGATTTATTTGAAATCAATGAGAAATGTGTTCTTAGGAAAATTTCTCTCTGTATGTTTACATTAAAACTCCAATATTTATCAAACTATGGGCCAAAGAAAAACTCTGGAGCACACTCAGTAGGTGTGTGAACAGTTTTCCATAAATATATACATTTAAAAGGTAAGAGATAACTTTCAAAACATGTTAATGATGTGAGTTCAAAATGAATTTAGCTACTTTTCATGGAGCTCCAGAGTCTCGATGCACACAATGAGGAACTTACATGCAGTTATTCATAGTGGGTGGTAATGTTAATCACGACCCTTTATTCTTCTCTGAATTCTTCAATCCAAAAGCAATACATTACCGTACAGTAAATTATCTCACAATTTTATAATGTAATGATCTCATCATGATGTATAGGTGAAAGATATTTGATGGGTACAAATAATGAGAAATTACCACAGCAATGGTCATCTACCTTTATGAGTCTATTCATTTGTTTTTCTTAATTTTGAGAAAAGGTCTAGCACTACTTGTTCTGTTAATATTTTCCAGCATATTAGACAAAATGAGTTAGCTCAGATCCCTTTGTCTAGCAAGTTGATGCCTTTGAAACCCTCAAAGAGATAACACTTTCTTTTTCTTAAATTAATTAACTTATTAATTAATTTCATTGAAACATAATTGATTGTCATATCTGTGGAGTACAGCGTTGACTATCAGTACCTGCAGAGATATAACACTTTTGAGATTGGCTCCTATATCCCTCCCAAACCTGCCATGAACCACCCTTCCTGCCTAGACGATTTATTCCCTTCTAATCTTTGAACCCAATTTCACTCTCATCCCGCATCCCCTGTGATGTCATGTGATGAGCATTTTTAAGTGCTCGGCCGTTAGTATTTTCTCAGTTCTCTGAACTCCTGTTTCTTTTTTGGTCTATGCCATCGTGTGGCACTGTATTGTTCCTTCCTTTCAGTGTTTGTGACCTGATTCCAAGACTATTAGGCCTCTGAGATGCGAAGAGGCAAATGACAAAAGTTTTAATATTTTGAAGATTAAGAAGATGATAGTTATGCAATACTTTCTGGTTTAGGAAAACTATTGTGTAAAAGGCCATGGAGTTATTATTATTGTTGTTAAATGAGACGTTCATATGTTGTAAGACTGTTCACTAGACAAATATATCTAGGCAACAGTCTGAAAATACATTCCGAAAGCTGCTGCTGATCACATGATATGCTGTGAAGAGATTAATACCTAGCACCTGTGAGTGGACTTAAGAGGTAAAAAAGAGGAAGCCAATTGAATGTATAGTGTTTCTAGAAACTTTCTAAGTGTCTTAAGGCATGAAGCTAAAGCATACTTACCTCATAGTACTCCAATTTAAATAAAATTATTTAAACCAGTGAACGTTTAGTCATGGGCTTGGTCAAGGGGCCAGGGTGGAACTCTAAGGAGGAACACACATGTGTGACTGGTTCTTGAGTTTGTTGTTTCCGGTGAATTTCTGTCGAGTATGAAACCACAAAAGGAAATGAGCCCGTGCCTGTGTCTCATTTTAAAAGTTTAAGACTTTAGTTCAACATGCATTATTTCTGTACTCAAGAGTAAGTAGTCTGTGCCTATTTCATCTGAAGAGTTGATGAGAAGTCGGTGGTATCTGGGGCTGCAGATGAGAGCAAGGAAAACGGGCTGTAAGTACACGTCAAAGAGTAGAGTTCATGTGTGAACGTGCCCTGTTTTCAAACAGATCCCCATGTGCTGTGTTGTGCTGTGTACAACCATAGCTTATACTTGCTTTGGTTCCTGTTTTGGTTTGTAGATCTGTGTGCAATTCTAGTTGCAATGTTCATATATATCATCATTGCAATTGCTCATTGTTTTTTCAAAATGTCATGGTAAAAATATTTCAGGTAGAAGAGGATGTGTTTCCTGTTCCATGGCCTCACACTGAAGGTTTTAGCTGGTACTTGTCAGCTGTTGGTGATGCAGGATGTTCGTGCCCTTGAGAAAACGTAAATATGTTCTAAGCTGATAAATAATTTGAGGGTTTTGACTGAATCCAAAGAAGGAGATGGTAATGTTCATTTATCAAATAGCCTAAATATTAAATTTAAAACCAAAAGGAAAACGTCAGCCCTTCAGAAATGTACAGTGTTTGAAAAGCTTTTGGCTCCGGTTTGCATCAGTGTTTGCGACGTACCTGTGTCTTCTTCCAGCTATAGCTCCACAGTTAGGAAATGAAAGCAACACTTTCATGGTGTGTGATAAACACTAGGGATAGATATTCAAGCTGCTTAGTGGCGAGAAAAAAATTAAAACTTAAATGATGCCCTGTAGTCACGTATGACACCAACAGCAGCAGCACAGTAATGGCCAGCTTTTGTTAAGTCTTCAGGATGTACCAGTCACTTCCTTAAATTATTTCCTTGTTTGTATTGTATTGTCAGCCTACTATATCCTGGTACATAGGCCAGTACTTGGCACATAGCAAACACCTGTTTGCTATACACAGTAACAATTTGCTTAATGAATTTTGAAACAAATGTAAGATTGATTTACAAGTGCAGAGAGTAAGGCTTAGAGGAGAGTAACCTTGCCCTGGCTGTATCATTAGTAAGTGATGGAGATTGTTTTTGAATCTCAGCTGCCTCTGGATATTTGATCATACAGTCATATTACACCTGTATCAAAGACTCGAGCAAAGGAGCTTTGCTGGTCCTGCCTTGTACTGACTGTAAACAAATGCTTCAAAGTTGTTCGACTTTTACTCTCATTATCTCTGGAACGGGGATAATACCTACCTCTCAAAGTAATAAATAATATTTTTCTATCATGTGGTTATCCTCTCTGCAGACATTGGTGAGAAAAACCCTAGAATTCATTCTGGGTCATGGCCAAGATCTGGGGGAAGAGTAAGGAGGAGCTACTCAGAGCAAGACTTGTTCATCTGAAGCGTGAAAGGCAGGGGTTTCTAACCTTTTCTTAGAAAACAGTTACCTTGGGTTGTCCCACTTATGAAAATATTGTTTCAGCTCAGACATCAAAACCATCAATTTTAACTACCAGCCAGACTCCACTCCTGACTCCAATGTTCTGTGAATGAAAGGAAAGAAGATCATATTCATCAGAGAATTAAAAACCTTAGAGATTCATCAGAATATGAGAAGACACTCTGCTCTCAGGGTTAGAGATGAAAGAGGTGTTTGAATGGCTGTGCTCTTCAGCACTGTCCTGGGTATGGCTTAGAGTAGGCAAAATTTGCCTCCAAAACTTTTAAAACTGTGTTTGGCCATTCTTTATTATTCTGCCTCAAAGAAAACTAAATAGTAAACTGAGTTATACTAATGGGGAAATACTTAAATGATTCATCAATGTCACCTAACCCAGAGAAGTTTTTATTTTAAAACATCATAATTAACTCAAAAGAGTGAATTTCTGCTGGTAGCATTTCACAAACTATGGCAGGTCGTGGGGCCCACTATCTGGGCAGCTCAGTATGCCAGAGGCTGGCCCCCGGAATAGTATCCTGGGCCTCACTCCCTACTGTTTTCTTGGATGTAGAATCACAGACATTTGGCATTGTGTGGGACCTTATATATTATCTGCCTATATATATATAGGCAAAACGTTAACAACTTTAGAGTCTAAAGGGTATATCATGGCTGCTTACCATATAATTCTTTCTACTTTTCTGTTTTTGAAATTTTTCATAAAAAAATGTTTAGGGGGAAAAGAAAATTGATAGGGAAGTGTTGAACGCAATAGAATCAGTAGTGGAATGGATGGAATTATCAACAGGACTGGGTGGGAAAATGCCTTTAAACGTTCTTCTTACAGCTCAAATTTACGTTTTGCCAGCATGTAGTTTAGCTCAACTGGAAACGTTCCATAGTATCTCAAACAGCACTGCAAAAACAAGAGTATTATGAAGTCAATTTTAGCATTCTGGAAAGGATCATTTTAGACCTAGAGATTAAATAAAAATAATTTAATATAGAATATACATAGATATTATATTACAACTCATTAATAAAAAGACATAATTTGAAAATGGGCAAAGGATTTGAGTAGGTAGTTCTCCAAAGAAGATATACAAATGGCCAAAAAACATGAAAAGATTCTCAATATCATTAGCCATTAGGAAGTGCAAATCAAAACCACAGTGAAATAGCACTTCATACCCACAAGGATGGCTGTAATCGAAAAGACTGATAATAACCAATGTTAGTGAGGACATAGAGAAATTGGAACACCGCTGCTGGTGGGAATGTAAAATGGTGCAGCCACTTTGGAAAGCACCATAAGACACAGCAATTCTACTTCTAGGTATATACACAAGAGAAATGGAAACATATGTCCACACAAACACTTGCACAAATGTTCATAACACATTATTTGTAATAGACAACAGTGGAAACAATCCACTTATTGATCTGTCCATCAACAGATTAACTGATAAATAAAAAGTGGTATATCCATACAATGGAATATATTCAACAATAAAAAGAAATAAAGTATTGATAAATTGCTGCAACATGGATGAACCTTTAAAATATGCTAAGTGAAAGAAACCAATCACAAAAGACCACTGACTGTATGATTTCATTTATATTAAATTTCCAGAATAGGCAAATCTACAGACACAGAAACCAGACGAGAGCTGGTTAGGAGAGAAAGAGTGACTGCTGATGGCCGTAGAGTTTGTTTTTGTTTTTTTTTCTTTTGAGTAATAAAAATGTTGTAAAATTGATTGTGGTGGTGGTTGCGCAACTCTTTTCCTATACTAGTAATCACTGAATTATGTACTTTTTTGTTTTTTGTTTATTATTTTTTGGCAGCTGGCTGGTATGAATTGTACAATTAAACTTGTGAATTGTATGGTATGTGAGTCGTATCTCAATAAAACTGTTATGCAAAAAAAAAAAGAAAGAAAGAAAAAAAAAAGTAAATAAGAAAGAAAACAGCAGAGAAATGAAGGAACTTGCCCAGAGTAAAACTGTCCCATGGAGCTGAGCCACAGGCAGCCAGTCTGCCACTGTGGGCCACGTGTCACGCCTCTCCTGAGATAGCAGAGGCTCAGTTCATTTTTCCTTCTTTCCTTCTTTCCCTTCCCTTCCTTCTTTTTCCCCTTTTCCCCATTTTCATTTTTTTCTTTTCTTTTCTTTTTTCGTAAAACTGTCCCATGGAGCTGAGCCACAGGCAGCCAGTCTGCCACTGTGGGCCACGTGTCATGCCTCTCCTGAGATAGCAGAGGCTCAGTTCATTTTTCCTTCTTTCCTTCTTTCCCTTCCCTTCCTTCTTTTTTCCCTTTTCCCCATTTTCATTTTTTTCTTTTCTTTTCTTTTTTCTTCCTTTTTTTTTTGTCTTTTTTCGTGTCCGGCAACGGATCGCAACCCTCAGTGTCGCGCCCATACCGGACCGGGACCGGCAACGGGATCGCAACCCTCGGTGTTGTGCCCGCACCTCGCTCAGCCAGTGAGCAGGAACCGGTCTGCATGTGGGATCCGAACCCTCGGTGGGAGCGCCACCACGCTCCCAAGCGGCGCACTGTAGCAGTGCGCCACCGGGCCGGCCCTTTCTTCCTTTTGTCTATTCTTTCTTTCCTTTCTTTTTTTCCCCTTCTTTTTTCCCCTTCTTTCCCTATTCTTTCCAATTTCTTCCTTCTGTTTTAGTAAAAGTACATTCACTGATCATGTGTCCTATCTGGGCTGAACCGCTCTTTGTGTGAAGTTGGAGTATTCAGAACCTTAATAAGCTCATGTGCACGTGAGTCTTCAGGAAAGAAATACAGGTTTCCTAGCTCCCGCTTGTATTCGGTAGCAAATCCTGCACTTCAGGAAACAGTGGCCTAAAAAGATGCACAACTATTGCTCATTTCAGTCCACCCGACATAGTTCATTTGCTGTATTCCTCAGTGGGCGAGTTTCTTTCTGATGATCCTTTTGCATATTTTCCCTTTTTAATTTCTCCAGCTCTCCTTAAGGCGGCAGCAGGTAAACGAAAGATTGAATGAATGGGCAGTCTTCAGTGAAAAGAACAAGGAGCTTTGTGAATGGTTGACTCAAATGGAAAGCAAAGTTTCTCAGAATGGAGACGTTCTCATTGAAGACATGATAGAGAAACTCAAGAAGGTACGGGAAGCGCGGCTGCTCGTGTTTCACTCTTTATGACACTCAGGAATACTTTCAACAGGTGCAGACGATGGCCTTACTCATAATTACCTTCCTGTCAAAGCAGCACTATATTTTATCTTTTCAATATAAAATAAATTTGCCCGGAAAGCCCTGCTTTACGTACAGAATATACAGAATACTTGCAATTTGTGATGAAAAAAAAAGAGCATCTGCTGATAATGTTCAGTACTTTTGGATTTTAGCTACTTGTTCAGTAAGAATCATGTATGTGTATTATGTGTTTCCTTTTGTTTTGCTTTTATGTTTTTGTTTTTAAGGAGGTAAAATCACTAAAAGAAAAAAAAATGGTAAATGAATTGAAGCCAAGATAATAGTATCTACGAGCATTAACACTCAAAAATGGTTTAATTTAAAAGATAATCCAAGGGGATTATTTTACTATAAGTGCTTTTTAAGGCTTGTAGTAATTCTTTTCAAATAAACATGTCTCAATAAAGTCATCTCAAAGTTGTGATAAAATATTGCAACTATTAATAAAAGCATCTAGAATATTGGTCTTTGAATCCCTTTGTGATGAAATAACATAACAAGGAGGGTAGGGAGTGCTGGGCACAAGGAGATACTCAACACCAGGACAGAAAAAATTTCAGCAGCTCCTCCCTTTCCTTTGGGGTCCTTTTTGCTTAGGTAAATGACCTGGGAGGGTGGCCCTGTTACCACACTAGCTTTAGTGAGGAGAAGGTGAAAATACCTATGCTCATTTAATACCTGTCTTCATATATCATTTTGCTGAGAAAATATTTGCTGCATAACAGGAGATTAAGCCAAAAATAAAAAGGTTGTTCCTGAAGATTGGATCCTGTCACCTTGGCAGGAGAGTAAGAGGGTCACTAGGGGTTTGGAGAAGGGGTGTCCTTCTATCATTACTTAAATCCTACCCTGTCGTGCCTACCTCTTGCCCATAGGCCATATGGAGCCAGTTCTCTTTAACCAAAACAATCTTTAAGAGGAGCTAACACAGAAACCGGATAAATCAAGAAGGTTTGAGACCCACTGATTCTCTAAAAGTAATGGTTATTATTCTTGAGAGTTAAATTGACATTGATTCATGTGTTGCAAAATATTAGCACTATATAGAGGATATCTCTTTAAAATGAAGGAATTTATTTAAAATATTCCCAAATAGCATAACTGACACACACATATACACATTTACAGATATATGATAATTGCATATGTGTGTGTGTGTGTGTGTGTGTGTGATATATGATAATTGCATATGTGTGTGTGTGTGTGTATATACAAGCAGTCTTCAAAATGTTCATGGAAAGATTCATATTATCTTTTAATTCTGTTGTTCCATAAATTTTTTGAAGTACCTGTGTATGTATGCGTGCATACATCTTATAAACCTCTTGGCAACTATTTGTATGAGAATTGATTCTAAATATAGCATCAGCTTAGTGATTAGAGCATTAAGGTATGATTTACCAATGTTAAAAGCCTTCAAATTTTGTCTTTTGTATCTATGTGTATACTTTTATTGTTTTAAATGCTCAAATAAAAAGGATTCCCCCATTCCTTTCAAGAACATCTATACAAAAATGCAATCCCAACTCTGCACACATACTGAAAATGATAAGTACTACTAATTCTCATGCACATGGGCTGATGTTCAAATGGTATTCTTCATGCCTGAACTATTCCAAGTAGTAGAAAACTGTAATTATCATATTTCTAGTACAGCCAGGCTGAATGCATTAAGAATATGCTTTCTGACCTCTATGATTGCTATTTATTATGCAGGATTATCAAGAGGAAATTGCTGCTGCCCAAGAAAACAAAATACAGCTCCAACAAATGGGAGAACGACTTGCTAAAGCCAGCCATGAAAGCAAAGCATCTGAGATTGAATACAAGCTCGGAAAGGTCAACGACCGGTGGCACCATCTCCTGGATCTCATTGCAGCCAGGTAAAAAAGCCCCGCGTCAGGAGGGCCTGTGTGTGTGCAGAATTTGGTAGCCTTTCCAGTCTACTTTTCATTTCAGCTAAAGTGAATCTAATAAATCATTCTCTCTCTCCCTGTTAGTCCACTATTTCGAAAAATGTTCATGCTGTTCTCATAAATGACACTTTTGTTAACTTTAAATTTTTCTTTCTTATTTCATAAATCCACTGTTGTTTGCATGTAGCAGAGAGAAAGAGTGTCAGATCCAAACAAAATCTACTCCCAAGAGAAAATTCTTTATTTCCGGGCTTCATGGGTGTTCAGCCTCCTATATGGAAAAAAGAGAAACTGCTGACCAGCATTTGTGGAGAGTGTTTTTGTCTTCAGTAGCAAAAAGAAAAGTTATCACATTCCTACTGTGTTTTTGGTTAGCAAGGTGTGAGAATGACACTGATTATTGCCACTCTGCTTAGTTGTGCTAGAAAGGTAAACTGAACCACTATAAAATTTTAGAGTTTATTTGAGCAAATGATTCATGAATCTAGCAGCTCCAAACCAGAAGCAGTTCAGGAGCTCCACTATGGGAACACAAGGGGGAGGCCTTTATAGGACAGACACAGCAGGAAAGTGAAGCAAACATTTGATTGTTTACAATTATACAGTTGGCTTATCTGGTCTATCCTGCAGGAAAGTCCCTAGTTATACAAGTTTGTTGGCTGATTCTAATTGTTTGAGCTTAAGTTCTGATTTAAATTTTTTTTTTTTTAATATGGGCATTTGCAAGAAATAAGTCAAGTTGCACTTACATTTGCAAATCAGTAAAGGTCGAGGTCACTTATGGGGCCTCACTGGTTTTGTCTGCTCAGGGGTTCTTCAGGCCTCATCTCCATTGTAATTTACTGTAACAGTTGTAAAAATAAGTTGCTGCATTATTGTAATTTTATGCTTAGCTTTGGTGATAACTCGAAGTGTCTGCCTTATATCTGAGGCATGTTACATTCAGTTTCTGTTGTAGAAGGGCAGGGTGAGTTAGTCCAAAAATATATATGAGAATCTTTACTAGCAATATAAAAGTCTGATGGGATTGAATGATGAGCTATGTTACCTGATATAAAAAGAGGGAGTGATTAACTAGATCTTTGTTTTAGGTGAACTTTGCTTCATGTTGGAATGTAGGCTCCATGGGGTCAGGGTAGCTTTATCCATTTTACTCACTGTGTATCACAAGCACCAACAACAGCACCTGAGCTCATAAGGGCTCAATAAATATTTGAGTGGATGAACAAATGAATGAATGAATATTTGAATATTTGAGTGGATGTTCTTCATGGCAATTAGGAGAGCTGGAATGTTACAAATGCTTTTGATTCACAGCCATTTGGGGCTATCCTACAATACAGGATTTTAAATCTGGATTCCTTTCCTTAGCCCTGCTGTGGAAAGGTGGACATATAGTGCCCTTTGAATTCCATGTACCCACTATAACTGCATTTGGGCACCATAACTTTGTATGCTGAATTTGGAAACATTTAGTATATATATATTTTATAAGGGACTTATTAAGGAGGATCTAACTCAAGAGGAAGGTTAAGATCATAATTTATGTTAGCAATAATGAAACAAAATGGAATAAATGCTTATTGATTTTTAAAATGTTTAACAATAGCACTGTATTAGCTAACATTTATTGAACACTTAGTTTGTGCCAGAGACTGTGCTATAGGATTCATATGCATCTTTTCATGTATGGTTCACAACACCCTTTGAGGTGGGCATTGCTATTATTATACCCATTTTGCAGATGTGGAGGCTGAGGCTTAGACTTGCCCATGGTCACGTGTGTTGAGTGGCAGAGCCTGCACTCTGACTCTGGAGCACTAAGCTCTCCTGGCTGGCAGGTTTGTGACTTCCTTTGCCTTGTTAGAGAGAATGCAGAAATTGAAGCCCCTTGTGCTATAAGTACTTTTCTTAGAGAAACCACCCTCTTGGTAAACAGCCCCAGTATTTTTTGTCAAATTCTGACTCATGGATTGACTTGCATTTCCATGTAATCGGCTAATCTAGTTAATCTTCTTTTCTAGTTTTTAGTGGTTCAATGGTGTGGAGAATGGGCATGCACTATGTTAAAGATGTTTTAAACTAGATTTAATATAATTTAGTCATAGCAGCTAGTTTAGGGTGTGGCCAGCTATTAGCCAACATTACATCAAATGAGTTTGGTGCTATCTCCTCAAAGTCATATTTATTTATAATATTTTTGTCTGGCTGTTCAGGTGAGAATTTTCTAGATGTTAATTAGTTTACTTTCCCAAAAGACACATTAGTAAACTCGAATCAATTATATATTTATAAGGTACAGTGCTCTGCACTGTAGTCACCAAAATGCCCATGTGTTTCCACTCACATAGAGTCTCATCATACACAGACACAATTCCTGTGGGAGATTGGCGTGTTGATCATGAATTCGTCCTGGAGTTCAGTGCCACGCTGGATTCACAGCCTGCCTTGCAGCCTCTCCCATCCCACTCACTTTCCATTTCCCAGTTTATTGGTGCTTCGTTAGTGCACAGACTGGTGAACATCTCCCACAGCCATCTTCAACCATGAACAGCCAGCTAAAATATGAACTTTCTGTGATTCAGTCCCGTTTACCACTCTTTCTTCTTCCAACTTTTTTTCCACATTGATGCAGTAGAGGAGAACATAACCTGGTGTATGCCTTTTGATATTTCTATGCTGTCTGGATGCTTTTGTGGGAAAGGAAAGGTTATTTTTGAAAATAATCATATTTCCAGGTGAACATCTTACCAGCCAATAGAAACAGGAACTGTGTCTTCTAATTTTAGATCACAGAAGCATAAAAAGTAAATAAATAAAGATGCATTGATAACCTACTGCATACAAACAGAATGCATAATTTAGAATCAACTTCATTATCACCGTTGGATTAGCTTAGACCATTCTGAGTACAAAATAGATGTGCTTTGCATTGAGTTTTTGAAACTGACTGTGTCACCAAGCATTGTCAATTTTTTAGGCCAACAAAATTTGCTCAGTTATTTTTAGAGCTCGATAAATAATGTTCTCGTGTCCTTTCCATTCTTCCTAGACCTGCTCTGTCTGATTCAGCAGTCACTAGCTACAGGTGGCTGTTTAAATGAACTGAAGTTGAATAAAGCTAAGTTTTTGTCTAATTTTAATTAGCTGCACTAGCCACATTTCAAGGGCTCAGTAACCCCATGAGGATAGTGGCCATCTTATTGGACATGCAGATAACAGAACATTTTATCATCTCAGAAAGTTCTATTGGTCGGCACTGGCCTAGACAATTGAAAGCTGAGCCCTTGGCTTTCATTAAGAGTCAGTCTAAGAAACTGCCACTGGGGAAGCATCACTGTGATTTCGGTAAAACTGCCTTGCAGAAGGCTGGCTCTCATTGTGTCAGGGAGCCCTTTGCAAAAACACACATAGCAGTTTCTCTAGAGCTCAGGACTAACAGGAAATCTCTCTCTTAGCTGTAATTGTTTAGTGCTGCTTACAGTTGTTAGTTATATGTTAGTGAATTACTTAGCACTTCCCATCTTAGTATCTAGGAAGGTCAGGTTCAACTTGTTAATTCTGTTGTAATAATTTCTTTTTATCATCTCAGAAAGTTCTATTGGTCGGCACTGGCCTAGACAATTGAAAGCTGAGCCCTGGGCTTTCATTAAGAGTCAGTCTAAGAAACTGCCACTGGGGAAGCATCACTGTGATTTCGGTAAAACTGCCTTGGAGAAGGCTGGCTCTCATTGTGTCAGGGAGCCCTTTGCAAAAACACACATAGCAGTTTCTCTAGAGCTCAGGACTGACAGGAAATCTCTCTCTTAGCTGTAATTGTTTAGTGCTGCTTACAGTTGTTAATTATATGTTAGTGAATTACTTAACACTTCCCATCTTAGTATCTAGGAAGGTCAGGTTCAACTTGTTAATTCTGTTGTAATAATTTCTTTTTTTTTTTATCAGTAGAATATATTCTTGTTCCCTCTACTGAACCTAAATTCCCACCACCAAAACAAAAGCACACTAGTTATTTGGCTCCTTTTTTTTTAAGAACAGCTTTTTTGAGATATAATTTACATGCCATCTAACTCGCCTAAAGTGTATAATTCAGTGATTTTTAGTATATTTACAGAGCTGAGCATCTATAATCACCACTGATGTTAAAACATTTTCATCATCCCCAAATAAAAACTCTATTACCCATTAATGGTTTCTTTTCATCCCTTCTTCCTCCCCTCTTCCCCCAGCCCTAGGAAACCACTATTTTACTTTCTGTCTCTATAGATTTACCTATTCTGAGTGGTTCATATACAGATCGTACAATGCATGGTCTTTTGTGACTGGTTGTTTTAATCTATATTTATTATAATTCCCTTAAACATTTTGTCGGAGTAAAAACAAACATAATTTTTAAAAAATTATTGAATGCCTACTATGCAGGAAGTACAGTGCTTGTTGCTATCAGGCAGAGGTTGGCATATGTTTTCTGTACAGGACCAGATAGTAAGTATTTTTGGCTCTGTGGCCCAAATAGTCTCTGTTGCAACGACTCTGCCATTGTAGTGTGAAAGCCGCCACAGAGAATATGTAAACAGAAGACCATGGCTGTGTTCCAGCAAAATTTTATTTACCAAAACAAGTGGCCAACCGTACATAGTTTGCTGACACTTTCTCTAGGGATATAAAGACGAAAAAGAAAACGATACTAACCAAGTAAGAATCAAAACATAAGCGTCCAAATGGCTCCTCACCTCGGGCCCTTGCCCTTTTTTCCTCTTGCTCCCGCCCCACCTGGCCTGGCCAGCCCCTAATTGCTCCTCACGCTCTTTCTTTCCTCTGGATGAGATCAGATTGTTCTCACTTGCTCAGCAGGTTTTCTGTGCTTCTCCTTCCTAGCATTTCCCTGAACTGTGTGATATCCCATGTGATTGGTTGTTTAGTCTCTTTCTCTACTGAAATGGAATTGTCTCTCACGTGATCACTAT